GGGGAATTTGATCTCCAATTAACCCCGAACAAAAAAAGCTAGGATAGCACCCAGGTCCTGAGGTCAAAGCTTAGTACAGTGCACACACATGTATGCACACACACACACACACACACAAATCCTTGTGAGAGATTTCTATTGTGAGAACAGTGGTCAGAGCACTTAAGGCACATCTTCAAAGCCAGTGCTAGTCTTATCAAAGTATAACTTACTCTTCACCAAGGTTTTATAAAATAGTAAATTGGATTGTAATATCCCAATTGGAATTATGCTTCCTGAAGGTGGCCATTAGCTAATTTGACTTCTTTTTCTTATTTGAGCATCCATAGCTCTTTTTCCCTCCTCTGTCATTCACTTAGCAGGGGCTCTTTTGAAAACATTCAGGGTGTCATCTGTTTCCTTTTCTCTGGGAAAAATCAGAATCATAAAAGAACACAATCCTAAGGCTAGAATTTGCGTTAGGACCAATCCATGTCGTGGTTTTTGTAGCTTAAATCAAAAACACCTGGCCATGAACTGACTGCTTCTGACGTTTGATTTCAACTCCTCTGTTTCCATCATATGATTGAACTTGTAAATGGAATACAGGCAGCTGTAGAAATTTATTTCAAAACATTTAATTTAGGTTCTTGGGAGATAAGGATTGCTAAAAATCAAACATGTCAGTTTTCTACTGTGGTTGCCTTGGTCATCCATCAAAGAGCTTATTTGACACAATATTCTAGTTCAGATGACTGTTTATGAATGATCGTAGAGGTTTTGAGGATCAAAGAAATCCAGCTCAAGTCTTAACTCTGCCTTTGCCCAGCTTTGAGAGCTTGAGCATGCCAATAAACATCTCTGAGCATTAAAGGAGCCATATTTACCATCAATGGTTAATTTGAGGATTAAGTAGGGTAATTTGTTTGCACATAGGGTATCTGCAGAATGGTAGTATGCTATTAGTCTTAGGGATTGAGCAGAGATCTGATAAGAGCAATACATTGATTAAGATAAAGGATATTGTCTGTATTTTTAGTTTTATTACAGTAATTCTGTATTATGTATTATAGTAGTACCATTTATAAGCCCTGTCGTATAATTGTTGTTAAGCAACCTAAGGCCTCATGGAAAAATAATAAGAAATAAACCTATGAAACATATTATTCAGATTTATGTCCATTAAAATGAAATCACAGGTTCTATATTACAATTAAAAATTTATCAGCCAGGCGCTGGTAGCTCTCAACTGTAATCCTAGCTACTCAAGAGGCTGAGATCTGAGGATTGAGGTCCAAAGTCAGCCCAGGCAGAACAGTCTGTGAGACTCTCTATTTCCAATTAACCAGCAAAAAGCCACAAACGGAGGTGTTTCTCAGGTTGTAGAATGCCAATTTTGAGCAAAAAAGCTAAGGGAGAGTGTCTTGGCACTGAGTTCAAACCCAAGTACTGATACACATACACACACACACACACACACACACACACACACACACAATCTGTAGTATTCTACACAAACTAAATTAGCAATAAAACTTTTCAATGGAGTCTCACTAACACTTTTTATAATTTCCATTACAAAGTATTAGAGATCTCAGCCTCCTGAGAACCTAGGATGACATGCATGAGCCCCTTGAACCCTGTAATATCCAGTTGCTTTCCCATCTGCCCTTACCTTCTCTTTCCATAATAAATCACTACCTCTTTTTCTATGAAGAGTGAGTTGTAAATTGCAAACACTACATCTGAACTTCTCCAGGGACTCAAATCATACTGCAGAGCTAGTGTTGTCTCTATAACAGTTGTATGTTTTCCAGCTTCATTCTTGTATCTGCCTTGATTTCCTTCATCATAACCCTTTACACTAACATGTATGGTGGTGATACAAAATGATGAGATAGGACAAAATGAGAAAAAGTGTCAGTTTATCAACAGCAGAGTTTGAGTAGCTTATGGTCTTGTAAGAGTAGGACTGCCTAATGCAGCCGAATTACGGTCTGAGAAACAAAGTTAGAAGAAGTCAGTCTGGATAGAGAAGTAAACCAAGTCAAGGTCTCTCAGAAGGAAACACTGATATGAGTACAATACTAAGAATTAAGAGATAGTTTTAAAAAAGGGAGAAACTCCAACAGGTGGTCATCAAAGGTAGGGTTCTAAGGTCCTGGCCGAATGTCAGATGATCCACGTGGTATGAGCTATCAGTAATAGAAAAGGCTAAGTGTGATTTGTTGCCATTATCTTTTTCATATTTCATATTGAGTTGTGTCAGTGACTCCTAGGGTGGTGAAATTATATAAGTAAATTGCTTATGGGGCCACAGGGGGACATATGGTAGGTTGGCTCCTGGACATTACAATATGCGGAGACTTTGTGTCCTAATTGGCTTTTCATTTTCTTCTTTGAGACAGATTTTGTTTGTTGTTTAACCCAGGCTGCCCTGGAACTCAGGATCCTCCTGCCTCTGTCTCCTCGAATACTGGAATTACAGGCATGCACTACTATGATCACTTCTGATTGATTCTTAGGTTAAATGGAGAAGGAAGAAGTCTTACTATTCCTAATAAGAGTCTCTGGTGATCTTAGTTTATGCTAACAAACAAAGATACATAATAAGTAGCCACCCTGTCGGGAGGAAATGGAATAAGCAGTTTTGGATATGGGCATGTGGTGATGAGATTTATCTCTAAGTATATATTGCCAGGCATAAATTCATCGCGTTTGTTTAATTTTCCATTTAAACTAACAATGAAGTATTCTATCAAAGTAAAAGACTAAAATTGTCTCAAATTAGTATAAATTCTTCCCTGCATGAAGAAGAGTACTGTAATTATGGAACAGTAGAAATATAATTGTTTATAGTCCTTAAGCACTATCACAATTAAGACATCACATTTGTTAAGCTTTTAGAATCTTTGGGTTATGACTTTTTAATCTTTTATTTTTAACTTCAAATTCTGAGCTTGCTACATGTCCTTTTATTTTTTTTTAATGCTCTACTTGAGCTAAAAGGTTGGTACTCAGCAATCTTGTAGGGTCATAGCCTAAGACTATTGGAATGACTCAGAATGTAACACTAAATACAGATGGATTTAATTTTCACTTTGATTTGATTTGATAATCTTTAGGAGGTTTAAATCTTGTTTGACAATTAAAATATTATCCATGGAAACTATTTCACTTTGTTCTAAATGTATAGAGACTTTACATATTTTCATATCAGATGACAGTTCCTCTAGCCAGTTTCTACAAACACATAAGCATAATGCTTAGTAAGGTCTATCTGGACCCTGCTAATGAGATTTCCTCATTAATCTTTTTCTTTAATACTGACATGAAATTCTCTAATAATAGTTCTGTAAAGAATACATATATTGATATTAAGCACTTACTTTCTAAATCAGCTCCCCTTGTTTTTTCTACAAGAAAAAAATGACTTTCTGAATATGTTCCAAGGTGGTATCATTTCCTTATCCCAGAGCAAAAAGTTCCATGTTTAAGGCTATGTCAGTGTGAGCATACGTCACAGATAATATTTTCCTTTATCCAGTATGGTCAGCAATAATTATAGTGAGCTTACCCTCTGCATTGTCAGTTCCAGACATGTTTATGATTCTAAGTACATTGTGCATGGCTATTAAAGGTAAAAGCAACAGTAGGGGCATGGTTCCAACTGCTTAGTAAACAATTGTGGAAAGATGTTTATTAAAGCCTGCTCTCAAGTGACAGATAAATGCATGGTTCTATTATGTATGCTAAATTCAGCACATTTACAAGCTTAAAAGCAGATAGATCAAAACAGGAGGGATTTTAAAAAATCATAAAGACAAAATGTTACAATGTCAGAATGTGACAGGAAAGTAATTTTTCCTTAAGAAAGATCCTCCCCTCAGCAACTCAAGATAGACGGAACCATAACCTAGGGAAGCAAATTAACAGCAAGTTAAGAGTGCTCCATTTCTTGCATTAAGCTTTCGAAAACCTGTTTAAATCAGCTCTAGTTAAGGTACCACTTTGTCCCTTATGCACACCCACACATACAAAAAAACTACATCACATAATTACTAATGTAGAATTCTTATTTATTAATATGCGATGATTAATTCTTTAAAAAATAAAAAACCAAAAAATGTAAGATGCACACACAAAGGAGACTCTTGTACAGCTTTTTCCAGCACATAAGGTCCTGCTACATGTTTTTTATTTTAGAAGAATTATCTTGTTCAGGGATGGCATATGTTTTTTTCTCCATATTCACTGTCCAGAACCATATTTCCAGAAAAATGCACAAATATTGTAGATGGTAGGCAATGCAATCTTCACATGATTACAAATTCACTTCCTTAGTTGTCTGGGGCTTTGTATAAATGCCAATAAATTTGAGAGTTCACCCAACTGTGCCTCTTAACCTTTGTTCCCAAAGGTAGAGGGCAGGATTTTTTAATCAAGTAGCAATTTATCTTTAATTAGGAAAACATAATTAGGCATTATCACCTAATTGCAATTACTGGTTGGAGAAAGTCACATTTCATAAGCAGTGACCCGTGTTCGATTACAATTCTCCTCTTCCTGAATTTCACATCTGTATTTGTGTTTGGCAATAAGCCAGTCAATTAAAAAAGTAATCTGTCACTGAGTCTGGGGCTGGTGGATCACACCTATAGTACTAGCTATTCAGGAGACTGAGATATGAGAACCAAAGTTCAGAGCTAGCCCAGGCAGAAAAGTCTGTGAAATTTTATCTCCAATTAACCACCAAGGAGCCAGAAGTGGAGCTGTGGCTCAAGAGAGTAAAAAAATGCCAATGGACAGCGTCCAGGTTCTGAGTTCAAGCCCCAAGACTGGCACCCACATAAATATAAAAACAAAATTTAAAAAAAGGTCACCACTATACTTCCCTGAAATCTAGTGTTAAACCTAACAAATCTGAAGCTGAATAGAAAACCAAGATCCTCCTGAAACCCCAGTTTAGCTGTCTCTGTGTCTTGCTCAAGCATCAAGTGTAAATCAAAATAATTGTACTTAAGAAAAACACATAAAATAACATTAGAGAACTGTTCCGCACTTCTTTTCTGGTACAGTTAGAAACAGTTTTAATGTCTCAAGGCACCTCTAAGGTTGAGTATCAGATACATGGGTAATTAATTGGCTGATCTACTATGCTGGAAAGTCAGTAAGGAGCTTGTGCAATTGTGAAAAGCAATCTCTAGAGGACCGTTACGTGTAGAGTAGGCACGTGGATTATAAGACAAATACAAAACAATGAGTCCTAGAAAAAAGCATGTTGAGCACCGTTGTGGCATTGTTTATATTTCCTTACCTAACACTACGTAAACCCGACATTTACAAAAAAGAAAGACTAACTTTTTGTTTTAGTTACACTTAATGTTGCTTTTTTTTTTTTTTTTAATGTGCTATCTCCATGTGAGTGACTCTAGTTCGTAGGGGTACTTTTAGAAGTGGTCGGGTCTAGATCAGTTTCTGTCACAATGGTAGATTCATTCAAGTGGGAGCTCAAGTTCTCCGAAGTCAGGTGGGAAGATTTGTAGATGATCTCATTGAAGTCGGACCCGATGGAAACCAGTGGAGGGTCGTGCAATGGCTCTTCCACGGAAGCCTCTGTGTTCTCTCGAGTGATCCCCATATCCTTGCTATGTTCTGAAGGGGATTTCCTTTTCATGCGAGTGTAAGTTTTGTCTTGATTTTCCATGCCTTGCTCATTCTTCAGGAACCGTCCAAAGAACCAGATGAAAAAGCCAAACCATACAAAAGCGATCAAACTTGGGACAAAAGCCAGACATTTCACATCCAGGCTAGCCCCAATGAACCTGCTGTGTAAAAACATGTCTCCTTCCACGTAGGTCTTATTTGTCTGAGGGTTGGTGTGATTAGACCTCCATTCCCAAGACAGCTTTGTTCGGTTTAAATCCTTTAAACTTTCTGGGTCTTTCACTGTGTATATCTTCTGCCCTGGGCCAATATACTGCCCGTATTCATGAGGTTTATAAAATATTTGATTTTTCCACATATTAAGATCCAAAATCAAGACGAGGAAGATAATTCCATAGTTAAACCATTTACCTGCATTGAAAGAAAAAAGAAATAGGGATTAATCAAGGGCACAGGAAACTGTAACAGGGCTTTCTCCAACAAAATTTAGATAATTGTATAGTAGTAGTATAAATGGTGAATGTTTAAGATCTGTTAGCAATTAATTTTTGATGAAAGTGCTACACTGCTCTAAAGTGAATTAACAAAGGAAATGTGCAATATATTCTAGGCATATGAAAAGGTAACTGTAGATGTCAGTAATGTATGATATTCACAGTAACAAGATTACGCCTGTTTTATTTGTACCACAGATATCCTCAAATTTGATTCCTTGTAGGTTTTTCTCTAGAAAATTTCAATTAATGTTGGAAAACAAGATTCTAATAAAATCCTAAGGGAAGTCCAATATATGATTGAGTAGCTCTTACAGTTTTATAATTAGGCCTGGGGAAGAAATAAATCATTTCACAATGCAAAGCACCGTAGTATATCCATTGAATTCCCATTGATGTTTGTAGGTGACCTGCTGATTAAACCATTAGTTGGTGTGTGATTCAGATCAATAATCCCTGAGCATTCAAGATACAAGAAATTAATTGCATCAAATTCTCATCAAACACAATATGGTTACACAACTATAATCAAAGCTAGCGAACAGCCTTTTTGTTTTTGGTGTGTGTGTGTGTGTGTGTGTGTGTGTGTGTGTGTGTGTGTGTGTGTGTGTGTGTGTGTGTGTGTGTGCTGGTCCTGGGGCTTAAACTCAGAGCCTGATGCTGTCCCTGAACTTCTTTTGCTCACAGCTAGCACTCTACCACTTGAGTTAGAGCTACATTTCCAGTCTTTTTTTTAGATGTGTGTGTGTGGGGGGGGGGTGGTTGTTTATTGGAGATATGAGTCTCCTGGACTTTTCCTGCCTGGGCTGGCTTCAAACCACAACCCCTGGATCATAGCTAGGAGTACAGGAGTAAGCCACTAGAGCCTGGTGCAAGTGAACAGCTTTAAAAGACATTATTTGGAGAAATTGTAACAATTATGATTTTCTTGTAGTGTTTAAAATCTTTTTTTCTTTTATTTCATTTTTTTAAATATATTTTTTAATTGTGAAAATGCTATACAAAGGGGTTACAGTTACATGAGCAAGGTAATGAGTACATTTCCTATCAAGCATTGTGGCCTCCTCCTTTGTTTTTCCTCTACCATCCCTTCCCTCCCATCTCCTCAACTACACTCCCTCTTCCCCCTTCCCCCTCCCCCCCCCCCCCCCGCCTAAATTGTAAAGTTCATTTTTCAACATAGTGTCTTGTACATCTCATTGTTACAATGGGTCCACCTGTATCCCTATTTAAACATTTTGTTTTTTCCCTTCCCCTCCACAAATTGGAGCAACATCAAATACAGTGAGAACAGGGGTTATACCCGGGGGAGGAACATACAAAGCAATGAAAAAAATCTCATGTACCTTATAAATACCTT